AACTGAGGTCATAGGTAGATGGGTCTGTGATATCGCGGGTGCTAGAGTGCTAGGGTGATATCACAGATGCTAAAGTGCTAAAGTGATATCAATCGTGCTAAAGCGCTAGGGTGATATTCTAGCACACTTAATTCCGTTATGTGAATATGAATATGAATATCACTTTAGCGCGTGATATCACAATACGCAAGTCTGTCCCCTGGTACACTCGCGTGAACTGCATCGTACACAGCGTCATCTTTAGCAGCCAAAAGAGCTTGAATCGTAGGCTCTTCGTCCGCCAAAAGGGTTGGCGTATTCCCAGATATAAGAGTAGTTAAAGAACTGGTCTCAGAAATATTGTCGATGTCAATCGGATCAAGAGAATTCATGATGTTGGTGGATTTGTTGATAAAATTATCGCGATTGAAGAACAAAGGAAACCATGAACTCGTGCATTTCGAACGTAGCTATTTATGCATCGCAGAGCTGCCTGTTTATTCACGGCCAATTGTCGCAGCCTAAAAATCAGGCTTGGAAATCGATCGACTGGTCGATGTGATCGATTCGATTGATCGACGCCATTTCGATTATCGATCGATCGAGCGAGGATATCAATCGATCGACAATGAAATCGATCGATCACGCAGAAATTCCAATCGATCGATATCGATTTCGACCAACCCCCTGATCGATCGATTCGACTGCGATCAACCCCCTGATCGATCGATTTCACTGTCGATCATGTCCCGAATTTTAGTTCCGGGTAGCTTGTGGGCCAAGTCTGAGGTACGAGCCAATGGGATAATACGTGAACCGGTGGCGCGTCTAGCTAGGACGAGCTGTCACACGCGTCGCGTGGCTGTCCGGGGTCCTCAGAGGTACTATCATATCAACTTGCATGGTATGTAATATAGAGGAATGTTAGTGTATACTTATTCTGTCCCGTGACTGAGACCAAAAAAACAACGAACCGTCTCGCACCATCCGCAGCCCTGAACCACCCGCAGCCCTGACCATGCCCGGCTCAGCAGCCACTGCGCGTTCCGTTGCCAGGAACTCTCCAGGGCTTGGCTTTTGCCAGTAGATATATATACTGGACCCGAAATTGAACTACCAGCCTGCAACCTTTTGATTTCACAGGTTCTACACCCTTTGCTCGCCGTTCTCATATGTACTCATTTGAAGATTCCGCAGCGGCTTCTCCGTCGACTCCCCCGCCATCAGAGCGGTCAATCAGCTCAGCCCCGACGAAACATGCACCAGTCAGATTTCCGAATTACGATGCTTGGGCGCCTGATAAATTTAGGCGGTTCCTCGGTTTCACGATAGGCCACGATCTTTTTCGAGAGCGGACATGGTGGTGGC